GGCGTCATGATGAAGAGGAGGCGTCGCGTCGCACTGAAGAGGAGGCATGGTGTCGTGTTCAGTCTTGATGTCAAATGGGTTGTGAGTCTGTTGAAACGGGAACAGAACACGAGCTATTACACAGAGTTAGTTGGCAAAGCACTCTAAAGCGCTGTTACACTCTACAGAAAACAATGTTGTTTTATTAGCTTTTTATTTAAGCTTACCCTGTGGAACGAAAGCGCCCTTTTCGACACCATCAAGAGACGTTTGAGCTCGGCCACGTTGCAGCAACTCCGGGCAGAACGTTGCAACACAGCTTTGGTAGAAAAAATTGAATCGAATGAAGCATTTGCTCAACTGGCTCTAGGTCTGAAGCCATCCCCAAGCACAGTTTGTTTCATGGACACGGAATAGACAATTGCCCTTCTGAATTTCGTATAATTTTGTCTCAGGCAATTAGCCATGTGACACCGTGATATCAACTTCGTGCCACAGACTGACTGACCGCCCACAGGAAACATCTGCCGTCCAACTTAACCGTTAGACGTCGTGCGAGCCTCCACATAACGATACGATGGCATTACATTACATTACATTACGATGACGATAAAGGCATGCTTTAAAGGTAGAGTTTCTCATTTGCATGGGTTTTGAACAGAAATGGCCATCTTGAGGAGCATTTCATGCAGCTCATATCCATGCACTTCTTAAGACCCAAAACCCCCTGGTTTTTAGCTACACGCCCGCGAAGATGTGCAGGCTGTTCCATGCAGACTACTTCAAGGTTCCTCAGGCATCACAAAAATTATGAAGCGCATCTGCAACGGGCATAATGCACACAGATAAGACAGTGGCAATAGCCTTATTCTTCGGAGGAAAACCAGAATAGAGATACAGATACGTTCATATTTCCGCAACATGCCTTTGTCGAAACGAATATCTGCTATTCGTTTCGATGAAGGCAGGTTGCCGAAATATCAAGGCATTGATATCTCCAGTCTCCTGTTTTTTTTCCCCCACTACTGCCTTACTCAACCATCCATGACAGCAAAATGAGATCTTTTAAATCCTACCATTCCACTGTCCATGTGTCTTTCAAGGTCAAACAGATGCGTGTCAAGTCGCACATATGTGGCGTTCGAGAGCACGATTTCCGTACATAATGGCGGCCGGTTGATTCTCAATTAATGTTGTGCAAGCTATGCAAGATTTTAACACCAATTGCCTTTTGTGCTACATAATACAAGAAATGATACATTCTTCGTAGTTATTACGGAAATAAGACTCGTAATCGAATAACTTCACCCTCGCCCTGATTTCATGACGCGGATTGGTAGGTGAGCGTTGGTGCGTTTCCCCACTGGCGTCTCAGAGTAATGAAGATAGAGCTTAGCAAAAAGCACCAATTCACTGGCCTCGACAAGACCTCACGATTGGTACTAGTTTTTATGTTGTTAGGTCAATGATTGTTTTCATGATGGCAGGTAAAAACTTGGATTTTCCAGAAAATCACACTTTTCAGCTCTGCAACAGCTTACCCACGTGACCACGCCTTGTGACGGCACGAAACTTAAACAGACGTGCGCATTGTTCAATTTGGGTGCAATGGTGAATATCTGTATGTGTTTTGAGTCTATGTTTATGACACATGGCTCTGTTAATGTCACAGTCGTCCCACCGCACACATTCCGCGCCACCGTCGGCTGCCGCCCGTCCGACCGCTCAGGTAGCGTTTTGCTGGTTGATTGCTGCGCAGTGTTCCTAAAAAAACGCCGCTGCTGCGAGGCCACTCGTGGAAAAAAATGTTGCTGATAGGGAGAAAAGGAACTAAGTAATTAGTACTTATTATGGCTCTAATGTTGCCGTGCGTTGTAAATAACATGTGGCGGCCAAATAGTATGCATGAACAGATACCGTTGGCGAATTGCAGATGCAGTTTTCCGAAGACAGGGAGTAAACATACGCAACTGGAGCGTGTACCATTGCCTGGGCCGTCAAGTGGCGGTCGCTGCTGGTGGGTTAGGTCTCCGTGTACTGCAATCCCACTCCCCATTTTTCGTCCCTGGATTCGCCTCTGATAAAGTCATTTTCAAGATGCTGTTCAATGGAAAGAAGTGGACGACGGAATGCAGCAGTCCATTTCAAGCCCTCATGTCCAAGATGTCCCCTTTACCCTTTTTTTGCATGCCAGTGACATTGCGCATTATCAACAGCAGTTTTCGATCTGGGCTAGTGTCGTGGAGGTGAAAAATATCACTGGAGGGGACGACTTTCAGATCCGGTCACATAAGGAAACTCCCGACAAATTTCGCTCATTCCCATGGCGAAATAGACCACCGTTACGCTATCGTCACGATGCTGCCGTCGGGCGGGTCGTCACGACCGGCCGGTCCTGCGGGCGCGCCGCGGCATTGCCGCGGGCTCGGAGCGTGCGGAATCGAAGATTGCCGCTCTTTATTAATGGTAATTACCGCTCGAAATCACCACTCTTCTCTAAAATAACAGAGAAGCTGGAGTGCGAACAGATCAGCACGAGTTTTGGAGGTAGTCGAGTGCTGGATATCGGCGAGGCAGCCTTAGTTCATCTATAAGAAGCATTTCATTGTGTCCGTCACGCTTGCTGCTGGAAGCTCTTGAGAGTCAACAGTGCATTAGACCAATGGCTGAAACGATTACATAAATTCAGGGTCATTTACAACACATCAAATGTTAGAACTGGAGCAAGAGTTCCCGCCCCAATATCTGCAGTGTGTATTAGGGATTGTTCACAGATCCCTTTGGTAAAGTGCTGCCAAAAACAAATGTATTCGTCATGTGAATGCTGCATTGCTTATAAAGCACGTGACTGTCAGGCACTTTCAATAGGAGACCCACAAAACCTTGAGTAACCTGTAAATGTTGCAGGAAAAGTCCTTAGACTACTGTGCAAGTGTAAGTTGTTCAAGACATCGGCGAGGTGCATTTTTCACATAGATAAGACGGTCGTATTAGCCTTATTCCTCGCAGAAAACTAGGAGAATGGAGATGGAGCCTGGTTGATATTTCGGCAACATGCCTTTATCGAAACAATAGCACAAGTGAATGCCGGCAATATGCCTTTATCGAAACAATAGCACCTCTGCTATTGTTTCGATAAAGGCATGTTGCCGAAATATCAACCCAACTACATCCCCATTCTCCTGGTTTTCTCCGAGGAATAAGGCTAATACGACTGTTATACTGTGCAAGTGCTTTGAACTCAGTGGGATGAAGGCGCAACCATCCAATGAGCAGAAAATAACAAACTGTTTGGAACCATCTAGTGCATCAGGAGTCTCCCGGGCGCAGGTCGGCGTTGATGATTGACTCATATCGACGCGGTAAAAGAAGTAAGGAGTCTGGATGTTGCTTTTCATGGGACCCCGTTTAGGAAATGATACATTCGTGCCGTTATGCAAAGGTACGGGGTTGATAGTAAATCATCGCCATCTGATGCCAAAAGCGTCATGCACCGATGCAACATTGGTGACACCACATGTGCACACACACACACACACACACACACACACACATATATATATATATATATATATATATATATATATATATATATATATATATATATGGGGGGTGTCCTGCGTTACAGTACATTATATAACTGATACGGTACTCACATCAATCGAACGCGGATGCCAGTTTGTGCTGATATTGACATGTTCCATGAAAAATGCAACGGATCAAGCACCTTGCATACAAATACCAAACAACTGGTACCAAAGAGCTTTGAATAACTGGGTTTCTTCGTAACTGGAACTGCGTGAAGCTGCAATCAGTGATTACAACTATGTCTGTTTCCAAAAAGCACGACAGCCGGACCGCTCCGATTAAAAATGTCCGCCTAGTTAAAGTCAGATTCACTCGCACTCCAGCCTCGTTCGTAAGAATCACAGGGTTTCGTGACTGAGTGTTGTAGAACAAACATGTGAGGTGAGCGTCAACAAAATTACGAGATCGGGCATTTTCGATGACATGGTTAGATACGTTTTATACATTCTGCTTTGATCCCCAGCATCATTCGTAAAGCGAAAATCATTTTGTGTATATACGTGTCAGCACAAGCGCCTTCATGAAGTCTGAAAAATGGTAGCAAATACGTGAACTCCTGAAAATGTTAAATCATGATGCACCATTCGTAAAGCGAAAAACATTTTGTGTATATACGTGTCAGCACCAGCGCCTTCATGAAGTCTGAACAATGGTTACGTGGACTCCTGAAAATGCTAAATCATGATGTGAACATTCGCTGCGTCGCTAGTAGCGCTGTAGCGTGTTGGTCTCCCATGGGATCCATGGGTCATATTTCAACGTAAAGCAGGCACAGAGGAAGCTCCTTGTAAATAGGGTGGCATGAATGACAATTTGTGTGCCGTCGCTCTCCAAACAATGTCATAGTGTTCACATTAAATTTTGTCAGACACGCATAGTTCTGCACCAAGCCTTTCCACTGCGGTCTCTGTAGCCTTAACAAGAGGACCCAACTCCCCAAATATGGCCGACTATCCGAATGTTGCAGCGTTCTGCTTCAATCCAGTTCGGTATCGAAAAACTTCGCGGCATTGTATCCCCGGAGCACATTCTTTCCAAAGTCAGCATCTAATAACGCGAAGTGCGTGGAGGCCGCCGTAAAGCCATCGGGCTACATAAAGCACAGGAAACTGCTGTGCGTGCCCGTCCTCATTTGCACGCGGCTTCTTTGCGCTGTCCGCCACCGCCGAGCACCGAGAAAGCGCCGCCTCACCTCCACACCGAATCAATGGTATCGACCGGAACCGAGGCTCGTCGCCACCGCGCGGGGATTGGTCGGTCGCGCCAGACTCCGCCCCCAGCGCGCTGATTGGCGGCGCCCCGCAGCGTCGGGCGGGGCGCCACCAGCTGTCCGGTCCGTCTCGCCGACCCGGCTGCCAGTCAACTGTACCTGCAGTCGCCGCGTCAGCGTGTGTCGCGACCGTGTCCCAGCCGCGAGTGCCGCCCGCGCCGCCATGTTCTCCCAGAGCCGCGATTGCGCCGGCGCCTCGTACAACGCCGGCTTCCACCCGATGTACTACCACCACGCGCAGGGCGGCGGCTACGCCGACCTCAACCTGCCGTACGGCGGCGGCGGCGGCGGTGGCGCGCTGCAGTACCCGGCCGACGGCTACTGGAACAATTACCGCACCGTCATCGGCGGCTACGACGACTGGCACGCTCAGGGCTTCGCGCCGGGCCCGCCCCTGGCGGCGCCGTCGCACCTGGCCGCCCAGCCGGGCACGCCGAGCCCGCAGCAGTGTCACGGCGCGCCGGCGGGACCGGCCGGTCGCAACGATTCGCCCGACAGCGGCATCGTGACGACGGCCTCCGACCTGGCGCTGCCGGCCAGCTCGGCGGCGGCGCTGCTGCCGCCGGCGCCGGCGCCGCCGACCGGCGAGCTGGCCGCGCCGCCGCCGCCGGCCGGCCAGGCCGTGTACGTGCGGCCGCAGCCGGCGCGCGAGAGCTGGGAGTGGCTGGACCGGAACTCGTACCCGTCGACGGCGCGCCCCCCGCCAGGTCAGCAGTCGGCCGCCGACCGTACGTCAGCCGCGCTCTCGGCTCTAAACGGGCTCCGCCTGCCTGCCTGTCTTGTGGTGCTCTCTGTGCTCTCTGTGCTCTCACTGTGCTCTCTGTGCTCTCGCTATGCTCTCTGTACGGTGCACTAGCCATGTCACCGGCTCCATCTGCGTTACTGGTCTGTGGGGCCGCCTGCGCGGCCTCGTAGCGGGCACCGCACGTTTGACCCCGTGTGTCCGGTGTAATGCGGACCAGCCCCGCACCCCGACCGCCGCTCTGCCTGACCTGCTGTACACCAGCCCTGTAACCAATCAACAGATCTGTCCGATCTGCTGTGCACCAGCCCTGTAACCTGCCTACCGCTCTGTCCGATCTGCTGTATATCAGCCCTGTAACCAATCAACAGCTCTGTCAGACCTGCTGTACACCAGACCGATAATCCACCCACAGCTCTGTCCAATCTGCCTTACACCAGACCAGTAATCCACCCACAGCTCTGTCCGACCTGCTGTAAACCAGACTCGCAACCTATCCACAGCTCTGTCCGATCTGCTGTACACCAGATCGGTAATCCACCCACAGCTCTGTCCGATCTGCTGTAAGCCAGACTCGTAACCTATCCACAGCTCTGTCCGATCTGCTGTACACCAGACCGGTAATCCACCCACAGCTCTGTCCGATCTGCTGTACACCAGTACTGTGCCGAACTTCAGGGCTGCCTGAAGTGTGCCCCATAGCGTACAGAATGCGGTAGCTGTGGCACAGGTTGTTAGCGGATGATGTCTCCCCGATGTATGGTGGCGGCCCCCGGCTTTTCCTGACCGTGGGCATGCGTCCAAAGCCTGCCCTGAAGATTTGCTCTCTCCATCGCCAGCTGGCGAGACTCGTGCACCGGAGTCATTATCGAGCGCCTGACTTCCACGACACAGTCTGCGCGCCGACTCCTGTTGGCTGTTCGTCATATAGGCGTCCTTACATTTCCTTGCACTTTATGCCGTTGGGATTTTACGCGGCTCTGAAGTGTAGGGCGCCTTTGTCACTCAACTGCAATCACGAGCTACCCCTGAAATACCCCGATCGGTCTGTCGACACCACTCTGAAGCTGACACTGGCATCTTGACGATGTAGCGTGCGACGTCGTGGAGCTTAAGATTGCGCCAGCCTTTCAGATAAAACGCCTCGCCTGGGGCGATAAGCTGGTAAAATACCCTCGCTATTCCATTGCAGCTTTAATCGGCGGATTTGGACTTTTCGGTCTGATTAATCCCAAAGTCACTCAACATCTGTCGTGCGTGTTCTGCAGCCGCCCGCGTCGTTTTGCGGTACCAAGTACAACCCCGGCGTGAAGCGGGGTCTCTAGACATGCATCGGGTGCCGAAGCCAGGTCACCACGTAACTGGAGCTCGGAGAAAAATATTTTTTTACGAAGCTCTGACGATTTTGGTGAGCTTTTGATGGGCGAAGTACAATTTTTGATTCGTTTCGAGCGGGTTCCTTCTCATAGGCAGTTGATCGGAGGCGAGGGACTTAACGGAATTTCGGGAGACAATTGGCAGAGGACCATAGCTCAAATATTCTCCAGAGTTGCCGAGAGCAATACCGGGTTCGACCACGGCCGTGGTCGGTACCGCCGCTTGCCCCCGGCCCTGCCGGCTCCCGCGTCCTCACCGCTGACCAACGGCCTCTGTAAGATCCGCCGGCGGCTGCGTCCTCCCAATTCATGTCCTCGTGATTCGGACGGGTGTAGCGTGTGTGTTACAACACAGTAAGCTCGCAGGGTCGTCCCCTGCGTTTGCCAAGCGAAATGAGAAATGTCCAAAATGGTTGGGTGATTGCACCCTCAAGACGATTGGTTCGTCTTGGCACCCGACTCGCTGACATGACTTCCGCTATACGCCCTCTAATTACTGCTGCCAGATAGATGTTCGTTGCAGAGATGGGGTGCATCGAAGGGTCTTACGACTACATTGGCTCCTTAGCAAAAATAAAAGTGATCACCGTGCCTCTTCAGTCACAGACGACTCAGAAAAACGGAAAAGTCGCCGCTAGTCTAGCTAGTAGTCGCTTTCTGCTTGATCTCTTGACGCTGTAGTATACACGCACTGCTAAGACAGCATGCTTGTAGCAGGCGCCCATTGGATCCAATCCCTTAGATCATCTCTGATATCCCCAACAATTCACCAATGTCATCTAGAATGGGCTCCACCGACGTCGGCCCGAACCGATATTCTGTGGCCTACTGCCGCTGGCAATTTTCAAAGGCTCTGGGAAAACACTGTTCATGCAGACTGGCCTGTCTTGGCATAAAGGTGTGTAGTTTGGAAATTCAGGGCCGCATCATGCGGTTTCAAAACAAGTAAAATCTTCCCGGGCTTGCGTCCCAGGAAAGTTCATTGTGGCTCTGGCGTACTGATGCCATTTGTCGCGCTATCTTTTGAATTTTAGCACAGTTACAAGCAGAGTTGCAAGAGAGGTCCGAAAAGTTGAGGAAACAAACCCA